TAATTAAGAAAGAAAATCATAGAGTGGAGGTTTAGAAAGGCAATTGTGGTATTAGTAGATTAGCAGTTTGGGGGAAATTAGTACACAAATACAGTCTGCATACGGTTGGGCAAGTAATTGTGGCTAGGCAGTGGGATGTTTGAATTGGTAAACTTGGAAGTTGAGAAAGGATGTGATTGTAGGAGTGCATAACTAAAGTAGAGTGAAGGGAAATGCAATTGAGATCAGAGGAGGAAATGATTTCAAGAGCATAAGGTGAAGAATTGGTTTTCTAGATGGACGTTGAAGTCCCTCTGATATGAGTGCAGAATTTGCATGCATTTGTTTATGAGAGAATCCAGAGGATCTTCAGTCTTGAGGAATAGGAAAGGTAGATAACTTGAGTCTCAAAGCAGTGTTAGATCCTACACTAAAGTGAATGAACATTAGTCTGGAACAAAATTATTAAAGAAAAGTTTCTATCAATAATAAATACTACATGGGCCTAGAAACATTGCCATAACAATATTTAAATAAAATTCAGGACACAAATGCAAATTTATATATAAACATGTTCATTACAGAATATTTTTAACAGAGAAAAACAGCAGCTTTATAAATATTAATAATATTGAAATGGTTAAATGTATTATAGTATGTCACCAAGGTGGAATATTTAGTCACTCAAATTTTTCAGGAAATATTTATAGACTACTATGTGGCACTGCATCAGACTAGATACACATGCAGTTGAATTAAAGGAGCTATATGGTATACAGGACATTTGTTAAAACTGGGAATATTTATTACCAATTGTTAATTGAAAATTCCTACATTAGGAAATTAAAGTGTGCCACGTGTATAGTTTTATATTATAATATATAAATCCATGAATAAAGAAAAATCTTAGAGGGTCTTCAATGAAAATGTTCCATTGAAAATACTTGGATGATGGACTCAAAGCATTAGTCGTATATACAAAATAATATAAATAAATTTTCATTGGATTTTATTTATTAACCTTTAATCATGGTGTGGGCAACATAGTACTTAATATATGTTTGTTGAAGAGATGGTGAAGCAATAAATGAATGGTTAAAAGAAGCTACAGGATTCTAGCTCCTAATATGCTTGTGTGCCCTCTGGAAGTCAAAGCTGAAGAGGATGAGCTGGAGTGAGGTGTGAGGCCTTGAAGTTCCCTAACCACAATCCTAGTCTCTGCCCTGCTGTCTCCCCTCTAAAACCTCTCTCCCACCTCTTTTCTTCTCCCAAGTTCAATAGCCTCTCAGGGATACTTTTCACAGAGGGCTTCTGGCATTCAGACAAGGAAAGGTTAAGAGCTTATTGTCACTGTCACTGGCAGTAGAGGAGATCCTAGGGGAGAAGAAAGTCACATGAATAAGTCTATGGTCTCCAAAGATGCTCAGAGAAAGAATAATTTGCCTTGCAGTTCCTCTTCCAGCTTGGTCCCTTGGCCACTGCACACAGTCTGCTGGTTGTGGGAACATTCTGCTGTCCAGGCAGGGGCATAGCTCCAGTCTGTTGTTCCTGATGGCTGTGATGGACTGTTTGGAGTGAGGAGAGATGTAGGTTGGTATTGATCCATGATAGCCTGGTTCCTCTCTAGGCCCTTCTGTTCATGGGCATCAATGGTGGGGTCTGACTGAGTATGGGGATACAGGAGGTAAAAAACACTGAGTTTATTGATGAGAGACATAGAAATTATGATGGATTGTTTTCACCATTTCACTTTAGAGGCTGTATTTGGAATTCTCCATCCCCTGAGAGCAGAGGCAGAGAGGACAGACCGAAATGTTTCTCTAGACACCCTGTGTCATAGTGGAAATACTAGTGGAAGGAGAGGCAAGAGACCTCTTGACTCATTTCCTCTGTGAACTTGGGAAAATTGCCTTTCCTTCTGTGCCCTTGGTAAAACGTTCTATGAGAAGATGATTCTAAAGCAAGAGGTTGGTAAATCTTTTTTGTAAAGAGCAAGAGTTAAAGTCTTAACCTTCAAACATGGTCTCCATCACAACTACTCTGTCCCATAAAAGCAGCCCTAGACAATATGTAAATGTGGGGAATGGCTGTATGTCAATAAAATCTTATTTACAAAAGTAGGTGGTGGGCAAGATTTGGCCCACAGGCTGCAATTTGCTGACCTATGGTATAAAGTGCCAACCAGAATTGATGTTTTATATCTCTGACTCCCATTTGGGTAAATCAAGAGTGGAATTGATGAAGCAGGAGTACTGTCCTATGAGTTGCATTTCTATGAAAGTCCTGTCTTCTGGCAGTGGTAAGGGGACTATAAGCCTGGAGACAGGGGTAAGAATGGAGTAGCCTCTGGAAGCCCACCTCCTTGAAGAAACTTACTTGATGAGAGGAGAATCAGTGTACTGAATGAAGATTGGCAAATTTATGACATAGATAAGTCATAACTTATTTCTGTGAATGAATATGTTTGGTTAATAATGGTGTGAATTGGGTGAGTATATACGTGAAGAAAAGTTTAAAAGTGTGTGTGTGTGTGAATGTATTCACAGTGAAAACCTATTTGTATGACTAGTGAAAATGTGTGTTAGTGTGTTAATCTTCATCAAAATTTGTATAAGTGAATATGTGTGTGGTGGCTGTATAAATAAATGTGTATGTTAAAATGCACCTGAATGGAAGATTGTGTGTCTGTATGTGGATTTGTAGCAGGCAGAACTGGATTTTTTTTTTCAGAACTGGAATTGAACCCAAGTAGGTCTGGCTCTAAACCCCTATTATTTTTTCTTTATCACATTGTCCTGCATATCTTAGATATTATGGAATAAGTAGGAGAATTAGAAGAGACTGGAGAGGAAGCCAAAGAAAAGTGGCTTAGGTAGTCAAAACAACAAAATGGAAGTTTTTAAAGCTAATGGAAGCTTTGATTCCAATCTTGGATTCAAATATCAGCTTATCTACTAACAAGTTGTTTGATTTTGGACAATTTATTGTCTGAGAGTCAATTTTTTCATGCATGAACTGGTGAGTTCAGTTTCATAGGTTTGCTGTGATGAGTAGAAATAATATATCTAACAGTAGGTATTTTATGATTGCTATTATCACATAAAAATATTAACAGAAATTGGAGATTCCTAATAATAACAACAAGTTAAAAGTAACTTTAGATTTGGCAACCATTTAGGTAATAGATTATTTTAGAGAAGGCAGTCTTAGCAGCATATTAGGGTGATAAGTAAAGTGGCTTTGGCAAAGATTAGGGGGTGGTAAGAGAATAGAAAGAGAGAGCACATGCTTTTTTCTGTGAAACTGAGGTGAAGGGGGAAGAGACAGTTGAACATATTTTCATATGAAGGAGAGGAGCCAACAGAAAGGGAGAATTTGAAGTTACTGGAGTGACAGATTTGTGGGGAGAAGTACTTAAAGAGAAGGTTGTGGTCCAGTGTACAGATGGACAGCTGAGCTCTGAATAGGAGGAAAAGGTGATTCAAATATAAATAAATTTGTGGATGGCAGACTGAGAGTGGGAAAGGTAAAGGAATGAAAAAAATAGATGTTTTTATTGCTTTTCTCCTTGAACCAGGAGTCAGGAAAACATAATCATCTGATGAAGGGGGACCGAGGTGGAGTAGGGCAGATATGAAGTGATCCTAAGGATGCTATGGGTAGCCACATTCTAGCTCTACCATTACTAGCCAGTGGCCTTGGGTGGGCGGTACTATTGAAACTCTCTAAGCTCTATTTGCTCCCCTATCAGTAAAATGGGAGAAATGGCTGTAGTTATCTTAATTACCACAGTGTGAGATAACATACATGCAGCCTTTAGCACTCAGACCCTCCTAATTGATCCGCCTCCATTTTCCAACCTGTCTCCTTCCTTTGCACCCACTTTATACAATGCTGCTGGAGAGAGCTACCTAAAATACTAACTTCATCATGCCATTCATCACAAATCCTTCAGTGGCTTTTACTGCTTCAACATAAATTCTAACTTCCTTATACTGGCACTCAAAGTCCTCAGTGATTTGGCCCCCACCTCACTGAATGGCATTATTTTCTTGTATTTGGTACCATGCCTTCTTTGCTACGGTAATTGCGAATCATTGTAATTTCCTTCTAAACTCTTATGTTCTTTGGGATCTCTGTGACTTTGTTCATGTTATTCCCTCCTCAGATGACTTTGAAAAAACATTACTTCTTCAAGATTCCACTTAGGGTCGCATCTTTATAAAACCTTTTCCAAACTCCTGGGAAGCTCTCCATGTTTCCACAGCTCCTTGTGTTTAGTATTTCCTTTACATTATCCATATCGTTTAGGTATTTTACTTAATTGTCTTCCCCAAGTAGGTCCTCCAGGAGCCATGGTAGGTGCTCAGTGAGGCTTGATAAATTATAGTCAATTCAGTGACCAGTTTCTTTTTGAGAGGCATATCACATTCTGATGGTCAAAGTGGAAATTGCAGGATTTGTTTTTCACGGCTCTTAACTGTTTATAACAACCTGAGATTAAGATCTATGGCATTCTAGAACTGGAATAATTCTCTTAAAGGTCAGCTAATCCAACTTCTTTGCAACATTTTATTTAAAGCAATAAAAGAGAGACCCATAGCAGGGCAATAATTTTACTGAGATCACATAGTGAATAAAATGTCAAAATCTTAACCCATGTTTCCTGACTTTCTGTCTAGGATTCTTTGCACTGCTCATCCAGTGAAAAATGATCTATTCCTATCTCCCCTACTTCAACTCTATTCACCTTTTTTTGGCAAAAGAGAAGAGGTGACTGCAAATCTTTTTTTTAATTAGATAAAATCTTTAAAAGATTATTAATCTACTTATGAGAGACAGAGGGAGAAAGGCAGAGACATAGGCAGAGGGAGAAGCAGGCTTCCAGCAAGGGAGCCTGATGTGGACTTGATCCTAGGACCCCGGGATCATAACCAGAGCCAAAGGCAGAGGCTTAACCACTAAGCCACCCCGGTGCCCTGCAAATCTTATACACCAACACCCAGTGACTTGTCCTGGGAATGGCAACCCTCAACCACACTAGTATCAGCCACTCATTCTTCATTCTGCTGGGCATCCCTGGCCTGGAAGACCAGCACACATGGATTTCTCTTCCTTTCTTTATTTCCTACCTGGTTGCTGTCCTTGGGAATATCCTCCTTGTCTTCATCATCATCACTGAACGCAGTCTCCATGAACCTATGTACCTCTTCCTCTGCATGCTAGCTGTGGCCGACCTCATCCTGTCCACTACCACTGTGCCCAAAGCACTGGCCATATTCTGGTTCCATGCAGGGGAGATCTCTCTTGATGGCTGTGTTACTCAAATCTTTTTCATCCACGCCACATTCATTGCTGAATCAGGGATTCTGCTGGCCATGGCATTTGACCGCTATGTGGCCATCTGTGACCCATTGCGTTATACTATGGTGCTCAGTCATACAGTAATCATAAAGGTTGGCTTGGCTGTGGTTCTGAGAAGCTTCTCTGTGATACTCCCAGATGTGTTCCTGGTGAAGAGACTGTCTTTCTGCCATAGCAATGTGCTACCACATACCTACTGCGAGCACATGGCTGTTGCCAAGTTTGCTTGTGCTGATATTCGTGTCAATGTCTGGTATGGCTTGTCTGTTCTCCTCTCTACTGTAGTGGTAGATGCCTTGCTCATCTTGGTTTCCTACACCCTCATCCTCAATGCAGTCTTCCACCTCCCTTCCCGAGGAGCCAGGCAAAAGGCCCTGGGCACATGTGGCTCCCACCTTGGGGTCATTTCCATGTTCTACTTGCCTGGCATTTTTACAATAATTACCCAGCGGTTTGGGCAACATGTTCCCCTCCACACTCACATTCTGCTGGCCAATATCTGCATGTTAGCTCCTCCCATGCTTAACCCTATCATTTATGGGGTCAAGACCAAACAGATTCGAGAGCGTGTGGTCAGTACTTTTCACAGTGGAACCATGCTGAGTCTGTGTGACTGATAAGGTGGTATGTTTACCGTTATAGGGTCTCACATTTTATTTCCCTGCTTTTGTAGATCCTTTTGAACTAAGGGTTCTACAGACTGTGAACAAAGTGATATATTATGACTTTAAAAGATAGATTGCTATGTTGCCTTAAGAAGGGTAGTGTTTGGAAAAGAGCATGAGCTTTTTTGAATATCACACCAAAAGTATAAGCAATAAAAACTAAATATACACGTGGGACTATATCAAATAAAAAGCTTCTGCACACCAGAGGAAGCAATCAACGAAACTAGCAGACAACATATGGAATGGGAGAAAATATTTGTAAATCATGCATCTGACAAGGGATTAATATTCAGAATATATAAGGAACCCACACAACTCAATAACAAAACTCAATGGCAAAAGAATAACCCAATTAAAATATGGGCAAATGACCTGAAAAGACATTTTTTTCCATAGAAGACATACAAATGGCCAATAGGTACATGAAAAAATTCTCAACATCACTAATTATCAGAGAAATGCAAATTAAAATCACAATGAGATCACTCCATGCCTTTTAGCATGGCTGGTATAAAAAAGACAAGAGATAACATGTGTTGGTGAGGAAGGATGTGAAGAAAAGGAACCCTGTCCACTGTTGGTGAGAACGTAAATTGGTAGAAATTTAAGGAAAACATCATGGGGTTCCTCAAGAAATGAAAACTAGAACTGCTATATAACCCAGAAATTCCACTTCTGCATGGAATATATATGAAGGAAATGAAATCACTATCTCAAAGAGATAATTGCACTCCCTCATGTTCAACGGAGCATTATTTACTATAGCCAAGACATGGAAACAACATATTTGTCCACAAAGAAAATGATAAAGAAAATGTGATACACACACACACACACACACACACACAATGGAATACTATTCAGTCACAAAAGGAAATTTGTACCATTTATGACAACATGGATGAATCTTGAGGGCATTTTGTTGAGTAAAATAAGTCAGAAAAAGGTATTGTATGATCTCACTTATATATGGAATCTAAAAGCAAACCAAACTCATAGAACAGATTGATGTTTGCCAGAGGTGAGTAGTGGGGTGTGGGAGAAATTGGTGAAGGAAGTAAAAGTGTACAACTTCCAGGTGTAAGAGAAATAAGTTCTGGGAATGTAATGTACATGCATGGTGACTACTATAGTCAATAATGTATTGTATGTTTGAAGGCCTCTAAGTAGATCTTAAAGTTCTTAACACATGCAGAAATATTTAACTATGTAAAGTGGTGCATGAGTTAACTAACCTTAACTGTGGTAATCATTTTGCAGTATAGATGTATTAAATCATTATGTTGTATACCTTAAACTTATAAAATGTTGTATATCAATTATATCTTAATAAAGCTGGAAAAAATGGTACATATATACAGTGGAATATTATTAAACTAATAAAAAGGAGAAAATTCTGTCATTTGTAACAAGGATGAACCTAAAGGATGTTATACTAAATGAAATAAGACAGACACAGAAAAAGAAATACTATATGATCATTTATATGTGTAATGTAAAAAAGACAGACTTACAGAAAGCAGAGAGTAGAATGGTGGTTTGCCAGGGGCACAGGGACTGGGGTGGGGAGGGGATAGGTGTTGGCTGAAGATTACACACTTTCAGTTATGAATTCGGAGATCTAATGTACAATATGATGACTATAGTTAATTCATTATTGTATACTTGCTGAGAATTGATGTTAAGTGTTCTCACTACACATACACAAAAGATAACTATGTGAGAATCTGTCAATCAGGCTGAATGTGGTAATCATTTCACAAAATGTACATATATATTGTAAACCTTAGGTGTACACAGTTTTTCTGTCAATTGCACCACAATGATGCTGGAAAAAATTTAGAATATGTAGTTTTGTAAAAAGGGAGGGGTACAATAATTTCTGAATTCCTTGATTATACCTTTATCATATGGCTGTGATAGAACTAAAAAATATAAACAGGATCTTGAATATGTATGATAGTAAACAGCAGATAAGTTTTTAACTTCTGCCTTAGCTTCTTTATCTTTAAATATTTGGTGTGAAATCTCTACTATTTAATTCCTTTCAATGGGGCCTAAGGGGATGGCAGTATGTCATTCTGTAGTGGACATCTCCAAGTACTGTGATAATCTGATATGACAAAGTATTTCAATTTTGAGAAATGAGAATATTTAAATTCATATCATTATGGTAGTTTTTTCCTACCAGTATATAGATAAAGGGAACAAACCATATTTATACTGGCCAAGTCAGAGACCTAGAAGCAGAAAAGTGGATTTTATAATTTACTCTTAAAAAATTTCTCTGTGAACTTGACATACAGAATCATACCATTCCCCAGTACACCCCTATTCATGTAGGACTGAGTGCTCCTTTCCTTCCTTCATTTTATCAACTAAGACATCATTGACTTAGCCAACTTATATTGATTTATCTCTAAATATTGTCATCTTTACTGAGGATTCTGTTCTTTTTATCCTTCCTTCAAAGTAACTTCATTCTGTCCAGTGTTAAGAAAGACCTGTTTTTATTCTTAAAAATAATTCTATCAATAAACTTCAAGGTCATTGAGATCTTTGTACAGTATCTAAATTTCATGAAATGAATACTTACCAGAGGTACTGAGAGCAATCTGAGATTCTCTTTTTTAATTCGACTGTAGTTAACATACAATGGGATATTAGTTGCAGGAATATAATAAAGTGATACAACAGACCCATCTATTAGTATTAAGCGCTCATAAAATAAGAGTACTTTTGAAAAGGTTTTTATTTATTTAATTTTATTTATTTATATATTTTTGTATATATTTTTTATTTTTATTTCTATTTTATTTTTTTAATAATAAATTTATTTTTTATTGGTGTTCAATTTGCCAACATACAGAATAACACCCAGTGCTCATCCTGTCAAGTGCCCACCTCAGTGCCCGCCACCCAGTCACCCCACCCCCCACCCACCTCCCCTTCCACCACCCCTAGTTTGTTTCCCAGAGTTAGGAGTCTTTCATTTTCTGTCTCCCTTTCTGATATTTCCCACTTATTTTTTTATATATTTTTTAAATTGGAGTTCGATTTGGCAAATATAGTATAACACCCGGTGCTCATTCAGTCAAGTACCCCTCTCAGTGCCCGTCATGCAGTCACCCCAACCCGTGCCCACCTTCCTTTCCACCACCCCTTGTTTGTTTCTCAGACTTAGGTGTCCCTCATGTTCTGTCACCCTCAATGATATTTCCAACTCATTTTTCTCTCCTTTTCCCTTTATTCCCTTTCACTATTTTTTATATTCCCCAAATGAATGAAACCATATAATGTTTGTCCTTCTCAAATTGACTTACTTCACTCAGCATAATACCTTCCAGGTCCCTACAGGTTGAAGAAAATGGTGGGTACTTGCTGTTTCTAATGGCTGAGTAATATTCCATTGTATACATAGAACACATCTTCTTTATTCATTCATCTTTGAATGGACACCGAGCTCCTTCCACAGCTTGGCTATAGTGGATATTGCTGCTAGAAACATCGGGGTGCAGGTGTCCCAGCGTTTCACTGTATCTGTATCTTTGGGGTAAATCCCCAGCAGTGCAATTGCTGGGTCGTAGGAGAGATCTATTTATAACTCTTTGAGGATCCTACACACAGTTTTCCAGAGTGGCTGCACCATTTCACTCTCCCACCAAGAGTGCAAGAGGGTTTCCCTTTCTCCACATCCTCTCCAACATCTGTTGCTTCCAGCCCATTAATTTTCCCCATTCTCACTTGAGTGAGGTGGTATCTCATAGTGGTTTTGATTTGTATTTCCCTGATGGCCAGTGATGTGGAGCATTTTCTCATGTGCTTGTCGGACATGTCTATGTCTTCCTCTGTGAGATTTCTGTTCATGTCTTTTGCCCATTTCATGATTGGATTGTTTATTTCTTTGCTGTTGAGTTTAATAAGTTCTTCTTTTTTAATAAATTTATTTTTTATTGGTGTGCAATTTTTCAACATACAGAATAACACCCAGTGCTCATCCCGTCAAGTGCCCACCTCAGTACCCACCAACCAGTCACCACCACCGCCCGCCCACCTCCCCTTCCACCACCCCTAGTTCGTTTCCTAGAGTTAGGAGTCTTTCATGTTCTGTCTCCCTTTCTGATATTTGCCATTCATTTTTTTCTCCTTTCAACTTTATTCCCTTTCACTATTTTTTATATTCACCAAATGAATGAGAACATATATGTTTGTCCTTCTCCGATTGACTTATTGCACTCAGCATAATACCTTCCAGTTCCATCCACGTCGAAGCAAATGGTGGGTATTTGTCGTTTCTAATGGCTGAGTAATATTCCATTGTATACATAGACCACATCTTCTTTATCCATTCATCTTTCGATGGACACCAAGGCACCTTCCACAGTTTGGCTACTGTGGACATTGCAGCTAGAAACATCGGGTGCAGGTGTCCCAGCGATTCATTGCATCTGTATCTTTGGGATAAATCCTCAGCAATGCAATTCCTGGGTTATAGGGCAGATCTGTTTTTAACTCTTTGAGGAACCGCCACACACTTTTTTTCAGAGTGGCTGCATCAGTTCACATTCCTACCAACAGTGCAAGAGGGTTCCCTTTTCTCCACATCCTCTCCAACATTTGTGGTTTCCTGCCTTGTTAATTTTCCCCATTCTCACTGGTGTGAGGTGGTATCTCACTGTGGTTTTGATTTGTATTTCCCTGATGGCAAGTGATGCAGAGCATTTTCTCATGTGCATGTTGGCCATGTCCATGTCTTCCTCTGTGAGATTTCTCTTCATGTCTTTTGCCCATTTCATGATTGGATTGTTTGTTTCTCTGCTGTTGAGTTTAATAAGTTCTTTATAGATCTTGGAAACTAGCCCTTTTTCTGACACGTCATTTCCAAATATCTTCTCCCATTCTGTAGGTTGTCTTTTAGTTTTGTTGAGCGTAACCTTTGCTGTGCAAAA